GTGAGAAAGCCGAGAAAGACAAAGTTGATTCTGATGCGTCGGGTCTGTGTTTACGTCTTTGTGTGGAGTCCGTGTACCTGCTCTCATCTGCTGTTCGGTTGTTGTTGAAATGGTTTTGTGAGCTTTAATCTGAGAATCTGGTGTTTCTGGCAAAACACAGTTATATTTAAAAGTCGATTCAGGATTTAATGAATTGATATCGCTTTATTCAAGCTACTCACCTCCCACTTCCACCTGCACTTTCAACTGGACCACGGCCAATCAGAGAGGTCCCGCCCCTGACTATCTCTGATTGGTTTAGTCCACGATAGGGGCAAAATGTGTGTCTGTTGTTGACCATAGGGAAGGTTGCAGATTTTTTTTTTTTTTTGCTACCCGAACAGTTGGTCGCACAGGTGCAACCAAATATTTGCACCCATGGCAAAAAGTTAGTCTAGAGCCCTGCTATCACATTCTTACTCAACTGAACAGAACAGAACTTTAGATTCAACATCTTGCCCAAGAATATTTGGCAGACTGGAGTAGCAAAGAGTTGAACCACCATCTCTCTGATTAGCAGATGACTTGTTCTAACTCCTGAGCTACAGCCTCCCCACAACACATCAGTTTGTTGTGCATGGGGCCGCAGAGCAGTCAGGGTGCTCACGCTGAATCTTGTAACAATGGGCATGTGAGGATCAGAACTGGACCACGGAGCAATGGAAGAAGGTGTCCTGGTGTGATTAATTGTGTTTTCTTTCATATCACGCGGATGGCTGGGTGCATGTGCATTGGTTACTTGGGTAACACCTGGCACAAGGATGCATGATAGGAAGAAAGCAAGTCAATGGAGGCAGTGTGATGCTTTGGACAATGTTCTGCTGGGAAACCTTGGGTCCTCCTTCACCCATGTGGATGCTACTTTAACATGTGTCAAATTCAAATTCAAATTCAAATTCAAATTTTATTTGTCACGTACACAGTCATACACAGTACGATATGTAGTGAAATGCTTGTCGCCTACTTAAGCATTGCTGCAGACCATAATCCACCCTGCCACAAAGAAAAATGATTCAGGAATAGTTTTTGAGTCACAACAATGAGTTTGAGCTCTTGACTTAACCTTCCCCAGATCCTTTGTGAACATCTTGGCTCAGATACCACAGCACACCTTCAGGTGTGTAATGGATTTGATGATGGGTCAGCAAAAGGGGGGGGGACCAACACAATACTAGGCAGGTGCTCATAATGTTGTGCCTTACTGGTATCTGACCGAGAGTAGTTTATCTATTTTATTTGTGTAAGAGGGTCCTTTTTGACCTTTCAGAAAGGTGAAAAATCCCACAATTCTTTAGTTCACAAGTGATGCAAACACTAACTCAGTATACAAGCATGTCATGAAACCACAAGGTTTCATTTAAAGCTGTACTGCTGACGTAGAGCTACATTGATTTTCCTGATTCTGATCAAAACAAAGCACCCAAGAATTAGTTTAAGGAAAAAAGTATGTAGTAAGTGACCTATTTACATGAACATAATAATGATTAAATATTAAAATTTTTTATATTAGTTGGAAATTAGACACAGTGGTTCCAGTGGATGATGTATCCCGGCATGCCAGCAGGTTGTCAGACAGAAATAAACAAACGCCAAATGAAAGCAGTTAACAAAAACCACAACACAGCACTCCAATAAGGTTTTAAACATTCACAACAGAGGGCAACATCTTTAATGCATTTTCAAGAGACAGTTTTCCTTTCAGATGTAACTCCACCATGGAACTATTTTCCTGTGGCACAAAGGCAGATCTGTGATCTGTCCAACTAACAAAAAACATATTTCTTAGATTTCAGCACTATGACATGAGTTATGATCTCGAGTGAGTTACATGTTTGGTAACATTTAATGAGACATACGGTGTGCTTACATTTCATGTATGTGTTTTGTTCAGGGACACTGTGAATTAGATATGTAAGTGCAGATCAGGGATAGCTCCCCTACTTCAAATACATATGTCCAAAAATGCCTTAATATTAAGTGAGACAGAGAAACACATTGTCAGAAGACCATATGAAGTTTAGTTGAATTCACAAAAGTGCATGTAATAATGTCACAGTTTGGGCTCTTGTTGTAATTCTGATGGGGTTGAAATGTTGTCTTTTTCAGTCTGTCAAGTCTTCAGTGGAGCTGTGATGCACTTTTACTTTTCTCCACTCACGAACTGTTTGTCTGCAACTTTATTGCAGTTTGTCTGCAACTTCATGAGAAGACTAGGCTCAGCTTCATTTTTAAAAGCAGACAAAACTGGACAAAAACATGGGAGCATACATCATGTGACAGTTACAGCCTATAGTCTCAAAGCCAACATCTAGCAAAGCACAGAATATCTAAGAGTGGATTTTCCTATGTCTGTGTACGCTGCAAGCTTTTTCACTGTACTAAAGGCCAGTATTGATCCATTTTGATTGAAGCTCCAGATGGCAGATATTTAAGCCAGTAGAAGTCTTTGCTGCTGAGTAACACACTCCCAGACTGAGCTGGAGAATAAATTTGGTCGGGCAGAAGCTTAATTGATCTCAGCAGTGTACAGAGTTACTCGTTAATGTGTGCCATGTTATATTTTTCCAACTCTGTTGTAAGCTAAAACCACACCACGCCTGTTAAGTTTATCAGCTGTATGAAGTTTACAGGATGAACTCTTTGGAGTTGTTGATCCACAGAGTTAAGCGTGTGCGCTGTTGATCCTCAGGAGATCGTCTACAGCAGGAGCAGCTCCAAGCAGCCAGAGCTCAGTACAGCCGCTGGAAGAAGCAGCTGCTTCCTGACGGCAGCAACGTTAACTCAGCAGACAACAGCCCCGTCCAACAATTCAAGTGTCACATGAAAGGAAACCTGGAGAGAACTCAGGATATACTGAAAGATCTGCCAAAGAAATATTCACTGAGGAAACCAGGCATGATACTTAAGGTACAGCATTTCCACTCATTCCAAGTGGCACTCAGAATTCAGTACAAAAGAGTACAGCTCAACAACATGAAAAGCCTTCAGAATAACCATGCAGACAACTAAAACTGATCATTAAGGGAAAGTTAAGGTCAGAACTCTTGTATGTGACTGGATTAGCTTACGGTAAGCTAGAGGCACTTAACAAACGAGCAGCTAGGTGTGTTTATTCATGACTATAAAGTGTTTTATTTATTTCACAGACCTGCATTTGTGTTTATTCAAGGGTTACAATAATATTCTCATGACAAATGGCTTGATAATCAAGATTTTTTTTATTATTATTGGATAAATCTTTCATATATTACATGGTTCAGTTTCAAATAGCATAGACTGTATATAAAACTGTGAAGTCACCTGTGTCAAAGATGCATTTTTTGGTTTTTTTTGTGGGACCCTGAAGTCACCATACCAGACAAGAGGCTGAGATTATCAGTTAATGCTTGGTCAGCAATACAAAACTGTACAGGTGTAATACATGAACACTCAATGAATCCAATATTAATAAAATACTTTTAATATTTAATATAATTCCTAGAGTATTTAAAAGTAGAATGGGAGGCAGAGCCTTCAGTTTTCAGGCCCCTCTTCTGTGGAACCAGCTTGGAATTAAGGTATTTTTTAACTTTTAAGTTTAGGGTTAAAACTTTCCTTTTTGCTAAAGCATATAATTTGGGCTGAATCAGGTGACCCTATAGGTGTATCTTGCTGGGGGATTCCCACAATTGAGTATTTCTTCTTCAGTCACCTTTCTCACTCACTGTGTGTCTATTGACACAGTCTCTTCCTGTTAAAAGGGAGTTTTTCCTTCCCACTGTCGCCAAAGTGCTTGCTCATAGGGGCTCATAGGATTGTTGGGTTTTTCTCTGTATGTATTATTGTAGGGTCTACCTTGCAATACCTTGAAGCAACTTTTGTGATTTCACGCTGTATAAATAAAATTGAATAATTTCACTCTCCAAATTTGGAGCACAAACTTGCTAGATTAGACAATTATGGACTAGAGGTCTGGTTCACTCCCTTAAATTAGCAAAGGTGGTACCTCAGTGAAGTCCAGAAGCTAGCGCTTCTTGTTTAGGAGGTTGCTATGGAAGGAGAAACTAGCCATAGTGACAAAATAGTGATGGCGCTGGCACGGCTGGCAGCCTTAACCCAATTTCCCTCGGGATGAATAAAGTATGATCAATCAACCAATCAATCAATCAATCAAAAACACATTAAGCCTAGATTATAATCCACTGTGGACGCAGACAGCTGGGGATCCGATGGCCAGGTCCTGTCACGCTACTTTGATGTCCACTTGAAGTCCCATGCATTTTTTTCCAGCTACAGCAGTTCACAAAAGTGTTAACAAAAATGCAACTTTAAAGGCCATTTATGCTACACATGTTTAGTTTAGATCTTGTATACTTGTTTTTCTTTTATCGTCGTGGCTCTTCTTGCACCTAACTGAGGAAATCTTTGAGCCAAGAGCTGCATTTTGTGTTACAGCCTTTTCCTCAACTGTCCGTGATGAACGCTGCTGACAACAAAGCAGAGGAACGGGAGAGAGTGCCTCTGGCTCCAGGCCCATGCGTGGCCTGCAGCCTGGGAAGAAACGCCTTTCCCAGACACAACTCTCAGTACAGCAAGTACCACTACAAGTGAGCTCAAGTGCTGTTTGAAAAGGCAAATGCTGGAGAAATGAAAGAAAGATTTCTGAAGTAATATATGCTTTTTTTCTGTTGCCTCTTACAGTGGATTCTGTGAGCAGCATTCATTTTTGTACAAGCGGACTGCCCTGCCTCTGACAGACAGGGAGAGGAGCATCTTCAGGTTTCAAAAGTAGCATTAAACAACAGTAAAGGTCAGCCATTCAGGAAAACCTGGTGTCCAAACAGGCTCATTAAAACTGCTATCCTGCAAAATTATTCATTATAGCATTAAAGTGAAAGAGCACTTAGGATTGAGTTTCATGTAATGCCATCAGAGTAGAAGTCTGACCCACTGAAGTTATTATTAATATAAAACAGCTAATATTAATCTCTTCATGTTTTACTGAATGTAAAAACAACCACTAATACAAGATTGGAGACGCATCATTGGGACTGGTCAAAATAGTCCAATCAGAATACAGGAAACAGTATTATGGTCTCAGTGGAGAGCTCAGTAAGTTCTTTCGAGAGGGTGAGAGCAGATGTAGGCTCTGTTCTCCAGGACCTGTTTGGCAATCTTCTTGATGTTGGCATCGTTGTTCTCAGGAGAGTCTGAAACGAATTGAGACAAGAATCACAAACCACGCCACACACTCCGATCAGACGTAAACACAGCACTTGATCATAGCGCTGGTTAGCTTAGAGGTCATTAAAAAAGTGCACGGTGTGAAAATGAAAAGCAGCGGGTGGTTCCAGTGTTGGTATGTGCTGTTTGGTGGGGAAATTCCACAACACATGCAAGTCTTTTGTACTAAGATGTTGCTGAAAGAAGAAAAAAAAAAGTCCCACACGGATCACGGTGCTGTTCTCAATTACCGTTTTGTGTTGTACTTACGTTTTTGCAGCTGAACCATCCAGTAATTGTTCTTAAAGAAGGCATCGTTGCAGAATGTGTTCGCAAGCAGCACCTAAAAAAGCAACACCAGTAAACATTTGGCACCTCTATCTGCAAATACTGTACACATAATTACTGAAAACCAAAGGTGTATTGCGTGCACCCTCACATTTATGGCTTTTAACTACAGTGCAGAGACAGCACAGCGCTGCCCATCTGAAACACAGAGGATAATATGAAGCATTCGCTGCCCTCTTTAAAGGCTTTCTTTCTTAAAGTCTTTGTGTTGAGGTTTTGTTTTGCATCGCTGTTTCTCATTACGAACAGGACTCTTTTTCAGTCGTCTTTACACTCCATCGTCCTGCCCTTCACCTAAATCTGCTCCAGGAACAACCGCTGTTCAAATGAAGGTAGTGTGCTACAGCTTTTACCTCGATCAAATAGTAAAGTGAAAGTAATAAAAGTGACGGCGAGTTTTATTTAACAAGTCTAAACACAAGCTGATCAAAAGCCTAATTAAACACGTCAGCAAGTGAAAGGAAAAAAGAAAAGAAAAGAAAAACACACAAATATAGAATAACAGACGTGGAGCTGTTTTAATTGTTTGCAGAAGGAACCGCTGTCCTGCAGTAAGTGAAAACAGCCAAAACAAACCACACCAGATAAGATTATACGATTTAATAGAGCCTAATAGTGAGGAATAAAAATCACGTTCAAATTCTCCGTGGGGACTTTGATTATGAGCCGTAATGCTGGAACCATCCAAAGTAAACTTCACACGAGCTGCTAGACTCTGAAATGTGTGAATGATGACATGTGCTCCTGTAGAAACCTCATCTGTGTGATGTCAAAGAACTAGTCTAGCCACAAACATCAGTTTGGGTGGTAACCATCAAACTCACAAATAAAGCACTATACCATATCAATAACTAGGGTAGATGTTTGTGTACACACACACAGTTCAAAACAATTACACAATACGATAATGAAAAAGGATTAAATTTGATAAGATTGGCTGTGTGACTAAATTTGTAATTCACCTCAAAGAGCTGAGACATATCCTGCTTTATGCTGCTGTTAGTGTGAAAGTCTTGAGTGTTTGGCCAACAGCAGAGTGTGACTGCACTGCATGTTTGGGAGATTTTCTTCTTGCATCTTACTAATAAATCAGGAAGCTCTACATCCGGTCCACTTCATGTGTACGTGGCATGTGTGTTACTGGGGACCTGAGTAAGTGCTTTGCTGAATGTGATTCGTCATACGTTGAGAAAGTTTGTCCGGTTAGGCCCCTCCAATGAGCCGTTCAAGGGAAACACTGCCAAAAGAAACTACTTGTAACCAAAGTGTCCTCATGCTGACGGTCGAAAACTCAAAGTGGGTCCTACAGAGACAGCTGGACAAGTGAACACGATTTAATCTGAATCTTTTTGTCTTTAGTTTCTTACAATAAATGTGGATGAGCAGTTCTCTAGCATTCGTGTTGAAATGTTGTCCAGAAGTGGTTGGCATGGCTCAAAATTTCACCTGCTGCATTTTCCTCCAACACTAAGACGCAAGCTGAAATTACAGTTGTGTAAACTCCAATTCTTTACAGACTCCTCACGCACGTGAAAACATTAACTCAGCCGCTGTAGGTGTGAGCTGGGCTGCTGCAGGCTCTGCAGTGAACATACCGATGCTTATAGTGTGGGCTAAGTGAGGCAGCTGTTTACTGTCAGCCTTAAACAGCGTAAACACAGAGGAAGTGATGTGTACAGAAATCCTATGAGATCGATGGAAAACTGCTCTCGTTGTGGCAAACAAACAAGTTCAATATGAATATTTATTCTGCGTGTGCGAGACTTCTAAACTGTGTGAGTGTGCACAGAGCGTACAAACCTCGTGGTCGTGATTCCTGAGGCCGATGCTAATGGAGCGGCTCGCTCTGGACAGGACGGCTGTCATAGCGTACATGTGGATCAGCACGTCTGCCACCCTCTTCAGGACGAGCTGTTCGTCCACTATGGTCTGACATCATCGGGGGAGAGGAGGAGAGACATGTGAGGGACAGTTACCTCAACTTTAGCTTTTGTATTTTAGTGACGAAAACCTAGTCGAGTCACTGTGCAAGTACTGAAGAAGCACACGGTTAACTAGCATCGAGCTTTATTGTTGTCCTGTTGCCATGGGTAAAACATGTGAGTAAAACTAATCAAATGAATAAACTGACATAGTTTCCATTTCCATCTAGATTTCAGAGTGAAATAGCAGCTTGGGGCTGATGGGCAGTTAACACGTAGAGCTAAGGAATGAGTTTTCCCTGCATTGTAACACTACAGATAATCAGTCCTGTAATGACACTGTACAATTACAGCATGAGCTGTTAGAGCACGGCTTTGATCCATAGCAACAATTTTCTACTTAAATGCATCAGTTCCTCCACCCTGCCTGCAATGAGACCATCTTCTTTAATAGCTTTGTCCCAATTTCCTGAAAATATCATTAAAGAGAAGAAGAAATGATTTGCATGTGCTGTTAGCCTTTAAACTTTTCACTGCTTATTTTCTTACATGTAAGCAGCCTGAACCTCGATATTCAAACTCTTGGCAAACATTTAAGTCCTCTGAGGAAAGTTTGTGTGTGCTGGATCTAAACCAGTCAAATGATACAGGAACTGAGAATCTGGAAAACTTTCCGGCTACCAAAAGGTTTATAGCTTCTTTGGGTAAAGCTGTGATTACAAAAGCACAGTCGCGAAACACAATTTGAAGCAGCTGTGTAACAGACAAACACCACCGCTCATTATGAAACAACTTTCATATTTACATGATGAATGGGAAATTTGCTCATAGAAACTGGAAAGCTTTGAGCGGGAAAATCCCACAGCTGCTTTTCCAGAATCAAACGCTACCTTTCCATATCTGTAGAGCAGGCTCTCCACAGTCGACCCAAACAGGCTAACGTTCTGCTCCAGCTTCTTTGCACTGTCCTGCAAAAGGAAACAGAAGATTGAAGAGCTTCGACAAAAAACACTTCACTCATCTAACACCACAATTCTCTTACTTCCAAGCTGGGATGCACCACTCCATCTTTCCCCGTCAGGCCGAGGTCTACTGAAGCTCCAAGCGAGGTCCTCAGTTTCTTGCCGACCATGCCTATCGCAAGACCTATATTTCCTTTCTTCATCTCCCTGAGGGCACAAACAACCACGTGCCTCTAAGCACAGGCAAACAGCTCCATATTTTTCTTAGGAAGTGTGAACACAACACAACTAACAGAAGGGGCGATGTAGGACTTAAAAGCAAAAACCTTCAAACCTCAACAACACCTTCAGATTCTTACTTTATTTTCCCTGTGAGGATTTTGCCAGCGTACTGCATTCCAGTGAGAGCGATGTACATCCTCAGGATTTCATTGGTACCCTGTGAGCAAACAGTGGAATTGGACTTAAGTTAAGAGTTTTCTGTGTCACGGGAAGTGGCTCTCTGATGGTTGAACAGAGAACTCGGTTGTGAGCAGGCAATGTTTTGCTTTCAAAATCAGCTGGAAACGTGACGTTTTAACGATTTCTTTTATTTACTGCATGTCTTAAGTGAAATGCTGATTCTCTGCTGGGGAGCACGTTTTATTCGTGCAGGCTGTTAGGCTGTACCATACTCACATCACAAATGAAGCCCAGCTGTAAAGTTACATGTACTGATTTGGTGATGCAGAAAATGTTTATACACTTGATTCTAATCACAGAACACACAAACCAAGCCGACCTCAGCTGCACAGTCAATAACCACCAAAGTGAAACCTGTTATCTCTGACTAACGAAGAACGGATGGCCGCGTTGAACTTCCCTCGCACTGTACCCCGCAGGTGTGCGTGTAGGAGTGTGTGGGATTCTCTGCTGTAGGTAAGCAGGGAATTTTGCTACATTGTATTTTCAAATTTTAAACTTTCTATCAGTAACAGTGAGTGTGACTGACTGACACAGTGAGGGGCTTTGATAATGATGGGTCTGGAGCTTTCTATGTAAAGTGCCCGAAGATGATGTGTTTCACCTCAAAATTAACTGTTTACTTCAATTTCATCTATTAAGAGCTTTGTTTCAACAGTAAAATATGCCACCTGGTGGTTGCTGACAGAATGAACCGTCTCAACAGTCCAGTATCTTTCACACAAGGATTTTAAATTTGGCAGCACAGTGGTTGCCTCACAGCAAGGACGTCCTGAGTTCAATTCCAGTTCCAGTTCTGGGGCCTTTCTGTGTAGAGTTTGCATGTTTATCCCATATTTGTATGGGTTCTCTCCGGGTACCGGCTTCCTCCCACAGTCCAAAGACATGCAGTTAGTGGGGTTAGGATAATAGGTGTGAATGTGAGTGCAAATGTTTGTTTGTCTCTATGTGTTGTTAGCCCTGTAACAGACTGGTGACCTGTCCAGGGTGTACCCTGCCTCTCGCCCTAAGACAGCTGGGATCGGCTCCAGCGACCCTGACAAGGTTAAGCAGAAGATTCAAATTCCCAATGACCATAAAAATACTGGGATTTGATACAGCATTACAGTTTGGAAGACAAGGTTTAACAAATGAACTGTTAACAGTTTTTTGATGTGTGTCATGGAGAGGAGAGGGGGGCACAGAGTTCATCTTAACTATGGCTGGGCAAAAAGCTGAAGGGCAGGCAAGATTCGTTTTTTGAAAAGGAAACAAATACATACGGTTTCACTCTAGCACAAACCAAGACTATATCTAGCCCTCAGAGTTTAAACACTTATGTATGAGTACCTCAAAGATGGGCAGGATGCGGCAGTCCCTGACGAAGCGCTCAAAGGGATAGTTCTTGGTATAACCCAGACCTCCGAGCACCTGAAGAGCCTCGCTCACACAAATCCAGCCTCCCTCCGAGCTGAACACCTGTACCGAAGATGAGGAACACGCACCGTGAGTAGTTTCATAAAAGTTTCACCTGAACACAGACGACAGAGCAAGTGGTACCTTGACCATGGCTGCCTCCAGAGAACAGTCTGGAACGCCCGGTCTGTCCATCATCCCTGCTGTCAGGTATGCCATGCTCTCCATCACGAAGGCATTGAGGGCCATCATTGCAAACTTCTCCTACAGAAAGCATAGAAATCACAGTATTTAGTCACTTCTGATCAGACTTCTGATCAGACTGGAAGGTGTCACAAGCTTCCAAGTGAGGGGAGAGCATACCTGGATCATACCAAACTCACTCAGGCTTTTGTTAAACTGCTTCCTGGTAGCAGCATACTCAGATGTCAGCTCTACAGAAGGCCAGACAGAGAAGCCAGACTTAATAAACTTAAAACACTCACAACCGCTACCCAGTTAAAACAACAGCTGAGTGCTTACCGATCAGCTTTTTAATCATTCCAGCACAGGAGCTGCCCATACTGAACCTCCCCGAGTTCAGGATGTTCATGGCGATCTGTCCGACACGCAGCACATGTTTACAAATATTACAGAATCTCCGTTGTGTAGACAGATGAAGCTGGCTTTAGAGCTTACCTTAAATCCACCTCCAATTTCTCCGATCACGTTCTCTACTGGTACTGGGACATTATCGAAGGACAGCTCACAGGCTAAAAGGTTACAGCGTTGAAACATAAATGACATGAAAATGGCCCAGCGTCTATCAAACTGCCTTTAAGTGTTGATGAAAGGCTTACTGTTGGATCCCCTGATGCCCAGTTTGTCCTCAGGCTTGCCGCTGGCGATCCCTCCAAAAGCCCTCTCCACGATGAATGCAGATATCTTGTCTTTCTTTACACCATCTACTTCCACCTCAGTCCTGGCGAACACGGTCATGATGTCCGCCATGCCTCCGTTTGAAATCCAGATCTGACAACATGATTCAAGTCAGGAGCTTCAGTCAGAGGCTGAGTTGAAGTCTGAATTAAAACTTGGTGGAAACTGTTCCTCTCACCTTGGAGCCGTTGATCAGGTAATGTTTTCCATCTTCAGACAGGGTTGCACGGGTCTGAATGGAGGCTGCGTCACTGCCACTGTAACGGACAGGCTGAGTGTCAGTGGAGCAAAGACAGCTACGTGCTCAGGCACATGGCGTAGATGCCATCATCACTGTGTTAACGCTGGCTGATGCATCACATTGGGTTTTCAATGATGACTTTGGCTTGCAGTGATTTGAAAACAACCTCACTGTTTAGTTCACTTCAAGCAAATAACACAATGAGCCTTTATCACCAAGTACTAATCAGAGGAAGGAAAAGTGGGAACACGGGTTCTGTGGGTGTTTCTGTGGAGTCCAATCCAAACAGCTAATGGTCTCTATAAATACATAGTGTTTCTAAAGTCATTGGGAAGTGATTCAACATCTGTGACATCAGTCTTTATCTTGATTAAACAATGTCCTGATTTAGGCTGTAATCATGGTGCTCTGTACAGTGTCCTGAATCCTGTAACCGCCATCTTTAACCACCGTTTGGTGCCCTGTGGGCGTCAACGCTGAGCAGTGACTGAGAATGAACCTGCAGATACAATCAGCTGAGACGCTTATTTTCAGGTTGCTGGGTTTTAAAACGTAAACTGCAGCCAGTTACCTGGATGGAGCCTGACGCACACTGACAGTTTTCATACTGGGAGTCTACTGACAGTTGCCAGGCTACCCCACAGCCCCCTAGTAGATGCAAACGTAGAATAAATGTGATTTTTAGGAAAGCTGACATCTGATTTTGAGGTCAAGATCTCCAGGATCACTGCTCGTCTGAGATTTTCAGTAGCTGTACCTACGTCACCTCGTTCTCAGGTTATCTTATTCAAAAATTAGAGGGGCCACGCCGCCTACCTCAGATGTTTTACTAGTCTTCTCCTGTCCAGCTTTGTTAAACCTGTGTGAAATGTAGCTTCAGCTTTCTGTTTGTTAGCTTTTCTGCTGTTGTACCACATCTGCTTCAAGGTTCAAAATGTTGTGTGTTCATAGAGGGTTCGTAGAGCTATGTTCTTCTGCATAGTGAGTGTTTGTTTGAGTTACTGTTGCCTTCCTTTTAGCTCACAGCAGTTTGGCGACTCTCCTCTGACATTTTCTCGCAGGCAGCTGTCACTCACTGGATAGTTTCTCTTTTTCTGACTAAACCCTACAGATGGTTGTATGAGACAATCCTAGTAGTTTCTGAGATACAAGATCCAGGCCACATTCAACGCCACTAAAACCACCCTTCTTCCCCACTCTGATGCTGGGTTTGAACGAGTTTATATGCCTAAATGACTCTGATATTGAGTTGCTGCCTTGTGACTGGACGATCAGATATTTGTTCTAATAATAGTTCAACAGGTGTACCTAATGAAGTGGCCAGTGGGTGTAGAGATAACCTGTTATTTGTGTTCATCAGACTGTGCTTCACTGCTGTATGAGCAGAGTTGGAGCCACAGAGGAGAACGCTGCGGATGACATGTGCATGGTGTTCTTTACCTTCCGGGCTCTGTCAGACAGAAAGCTGCGATGTGCTCCCCTGAGGCCAGCTTGGGCAGATACTTTTTCTTCTGGGCTTCATTGCCTGCTATCAGGATCCCCTGAGAGCCCACAAATGTGTTAGCAAATCCTCCAGATTGTCCACATTGCAGACACAACTCCGTATTGTATTTTTACCTTCAGTCCAATGGCTTGATGAGCAGCCAGTGTGACGGCGATGGAGCCGTCTAAGGCGATGATCTCATTCAGTCGTGCATAAATGGTGTGGGATAATCCAAGACCCCCTGGGATTGAAAAACAAATGATAAACAATAAAAACAGAAACTGCCCCACTGTGTCTCGCAGTGGGGCAGTTTCTGCATTTCCATCTAGCATGGATGTGTCAGAGAGACAGCTGTGGAGCCATGATGAAGTCAGGATCGTAGTGATGTTTCAGGGAAACCCCACTACGGTCGATATGTAGCTTTGACTTGAATCTGTACGTGTAGAAGCTGCACTGAGGCAGGAACCATATCTAAATCTAACAGCATGCCACCTGTTCATTAAAGCATTTCTGCGCTGAGCTCAGACAGAGTACCATTTAGATGTCAAGTGTGAGAGCTTAATTGAACCTCTTGTGCCATAAAATACACCCAAATATACTGACCTGATACTTGAAACGCTGCTGATTAACAGCAGATAACATACTAATATACTCATAAAGTAATGACGTTAAATGTTTAAAGTCCATTCAAACAGTATTTCAGTATTTTAAACTGCGCTCTGGGATTCATGTCTCCATGTGTAAAACAAAGCTGTTTGTAGAGTCTGTGATCTTCTTCTTCTTCTGTCTATCCTCAACACCAGACCTGCCATAGCAGATGGCTGCCATCACTGAGCCTGGATATGCCAATTAAAAAGGAGTTCTTCCTCCCCACAGTTGCAAAGTGCTTGATTACAGGGGATTGCTGGGCTTCTCTCTAATACCATACAATTGTCATCAGCCGTGCCACGAGATGAATGCTTTGTTTTAAACTGACATACATTAAAAAAAAATGTTCTGGGAAGTTAAATCCCCGCAGTGGGTGCAGCTACATATTTGATTTGGCACAGATATGATGCCAGATGTAGTTCCTGATGCAACCCTTCCATTATCCAGTGTTGGCTGGCACTAAGTGAACACTAGCTTGCAACCTCCTGACCAGATGTAATACCATCTGGAAAGCATCTGATTGACAACTGCCTCATTTTTTAGCATGATAATGAATCCAAACACAGTAGCAGCGCAGTAAAGCCATACCTGGAGAGACAAAGACGCAGTGCACACTATAGGTCATGCACTGGCCTCCCTAGAGCCCAGACCCCAACATTATCGAGATCATCAACACAGAACGAAAGGCAGCCGACATCCAAACAAGAGCTTTGAATATCATCCAAACAGCCTGGAGAGATATTCCTGAAGAACACTTAAACAAAGCTGCCTGAGATAGTTCAGACAGTCATACGAATATGGAGTTCCAACATTATTGGAATTGTACAAACTGTGTTTGTTATGTTTACACATTTCAATAAATCTCTCCGTGTATTTCCCATTTTCTGAGCAGAATGTAAAGAAATGAAGGACAGCTCCAGCACATTAGTGTAAATCACTAGCTTGAAACCATAGATTATATATAAAATATGGATCCAGCCACTGTGACGTCATGCTTTGAATGTTGCCATCTTGGTTTTCTGAAACCAGCTGTTATGAGCTAAATGTGGGTCTGACTGAGAAACCAAAGGTTGGTGGTTGTGGTTTGTATCATATCCAATTACACACCAAGTTTAATTATGGAGTTCCACAGGGTTCAGTGCTAGGACCAATTCTGTTTACATTATATATGCTTCCATTAGGAAGTATCATTAGAAGGCATCACATACATTTTCACTGCTATGCATGAAGCCAGATAACACACACCAATTAGTTAAACTGCAGGAATGTCTTAAAGACATAAAGACCTGGATGGCCGCTAACTTTCTACTTCTTAATTCAGATCAAACTGAGGTTATTGTACTCGGCCCTGAAAAGCTTAGAAATATGGTATCTAACCAGATTCTTACTCTGGATGGCATTACCTTGGCCTCCAGTAACGCTGTGAGGAACCTTGGAGTCATTTTTGACCAGGACATGTCCTTCAACGCACATATTAAACAAATATGTAAGACTGCGTTCTTCCATTTGCGCAACATCTCTAAAATTAGAAATATCCTGTCTCAGAGTGACGCTGAAAAACTAGTTCATGCATTTATTACTTCCTCACTGAAAAGCCTTCAGATAATCCAAAATGCTGCAGCAAGAGTCCTGACAGGGACTAGAAAGAGAGAGCAGATTTCTCCTGTTTTGGCTTCCCTTCATTGGCTTCCTGTTAAATCCAGAATTGAATTCAAAATCCTGCTCCTCACATACAAGGTCTTAAATAATCAGGTCCCATCTTATCTTAATGAGCTTGTAGTACCATATCACCCTATTAGAGCACTTCACTCTCGCTCTGCAGGCCTACTTGTTGTTCCTAGAGTATTTAAAAGTAGAATGTGAGGCAGAGCCTTCAGTTTTCAGGCCCCTCTTCTGTGGAACCAGCTTCCAGTTTGGATTCAGGAGACAGACACTATCTCTACTTTCAAGTTTAGGCTTCAAACTTTCCTTTTTGCTAAAGCATATAGTTAGGGCTGGACCAGGTGACCCTGAATCCTCCCTTAGTTATGCTGCAATAGATGTAGGCTGCCGGGGGATTCCCATGATGCATTGAGTTTTTCTTCTTCAGTCACCTTTCTCACTCACTATGTATTAACAGACCTCTCTGCATTGAATCATATCTGTTATTAACCTCTGTCTCTCTTCCACAGCATGTCTTTTATCCTGTCTTCTTTCTCTCACCCCAACCGGTCGCAGCAGATGGCCCCGCCCCTCCCTGAGCCTGGTTCTGCCGGAGGTTTCTTCCTGTTAAAAGGGAGTTTTTCCTTCCCACTGTTGCCAAAGTGCTGCTCATAGGGGGTCATATGATTGTTGGGTTTTTCTCTGTATGTATTTTTGTAGGGTCTGCCAATATAAAATACCTTGAGGTGACTGTTCTTGTGATTTGGTGCTGTATAAATATATAAATAAATAAAAGTGAGTTGAAATAAATGCCACTACGGGTGTCCACACAATCAGACTTCTTTTCTGCAACCACAGGAGGAAGTTGCCCTCTGCTGGCCAATGAAAAGAGTGCAAGTTTCAGGCACTGCTTCACCGGCTTTGCTTTTCAGAAAGAAGGAGCTGCATCCATCTGTTATGTATAGTGCAATGTTGAAACTAACTAGTAGCCTTAGAAGAGTTGTGTATAAAAGCTACATAGTCACACAAATTATATGAGGGAGGTGTCGTCCTTAAAAAAATACCCTAAATAAAAGAATGTAAAAATAAGTAACAACACAGATCAAAGTATTAGTATAATGTCCAGAACATTGCTCTTAACTTCTAACTTCACTTTGGGGCAAAGTCGGGTGGAGTTAAAGTTCATGTCAAAAATGCTTTGAAATCAATTTTCACTCATATTTTCAGATGGATCCCGAGACACGAGACTATCTTTTAGAAGGGCTTTGTTAAAATCATCTCACCGTATTCTTCAGGAATCATGATTCCAAACAGCCCGAGATCCTTCAACCCCTGCAGAGTCTCCAGGGGAATTGTGGCCTCTCTGTCAATTTTTGCTGAGTCAACTGGCAAAGAAACCCCAAAACAAAAACAAACAAAATCCAGCAATTCCAATGTCAGTCATTTAATTCCTCTGATAAATCATATCTGAAAGTCATTAATCACGTGCATGTACTCAATTCCCACCTCACCATCATCACTGAAGAACTTCTCTACCGGTGCAACAAGCTGCTTTATCTCCTCCACCTCATCATTTCCAATTTCTGGATAAGGGAAGACCTCAGCCTGGAGAACGAAACAGGCCTTTTTAGAGATCGTAACAGGGTTATGCATCTATGTTACCGTCCAAGTCATATTTTTGTGTTATATAGTTATATGCTTCTAATCCATCATGTGGTGACAGTGTGAAGCATGAAATCCTGCAGATAAAGCTGATGTTCATATTAACTATGAGAAAGGAGAAAAAGGTCATGTCTGTAATTCTGACTGTGGCCTGGGCTGGTTTTAAATGATTCTGAACCAGCTCACCTGCCCATCAGCATCCAGGGTTTACTCAGAATGGTGCAGAAACCACGCAGTGAGTGGCAGGTACAGAACTGTAAGACTGCAGGCAGCAGAAACGTGACTGAAAAGTAAAAGCTGGTGTGGTGAATCAAGAGCATGATTCCCCTGTGCTGACCTGCCTTGTGCCAAAAGTAAAGACTGATGTTGCTGTGTAGGGAATCTTTTCTCTCCACACTCTGAGATCCTTGAAGCAATCACAGCACTGTAAGGGTTGTTGGTAACCATGTGCATCCCTTTATCGCCATGATTTACCCTCTTTAAATGGCCTTTTCCAGACTCCAGAAACAAATCCTGCAGAGAGGCCTTGGGATGTGTTATAGAGGGAGACTGAAAGCGTGAACGGTGTGATGATTCATGTCAACATGGAGGACTCTAAAGAAAGACGTTTCCACTGTGTGAGATAAACCGACCTTCCTACACGGTAGCTGGTTTTACTTTGGGTAGATATTTAAAGTCTCTTTCACCATTTACCCCAAACAGGTGAGACAGTGCCTCAGCCTCAGTTTTTTCAAGCTTCCCTGCATTTTATGCGTCTTATTTTTCTGGTGTTGCGTCTAAGGCCCTTTGTTTCGTAAACGATACTTCTTTCAAAGCTAGAACGCTGGTGATTGTTAGCTTTGAATATAGTTATCATCTAAAGTACAAAGTCTTTTCTGAGACGACTTCCTCCGCCCGTCACTAACTTTGGAGAGGCCTTCTGGCAGCTCTTTTCCTTTACCTTGTTCACTTGACCGAGGAACAGATCCTTCGCATACGCCAGGTGTCTGCAGTGAGTTTTAATGCTCCTCCGCTGCTGCAGTCTCAGCTCTTCTTGCCCAGCATGCCTCGCGTGACAGCCAAGCAACCGCTCTCCGATTCGAAAGGTTCGAGAGACGATTAATCTGTTCATGTTCATCATTCTATTAGCAAAGATCTCTACTTCATACAGCCATCGGTCTGCTCCCGAACCCAAGCAGCAAAGTACCTTTCACCCGTTTCTGTCCCATGCTGATGACGTAAGAGATATGTTCGAGAGGCGTTCTCTGACCCATGTAAACTACAGACTTACAAATGTGAACGGTCTTCTATGGGTCTTCTAACACATACATACCGAGCTTACTGGTAGTGTAACTTTGAATAAAAATTATGTTTTGTTTTGTTTGTGTTTGTGTTTACAAAAAAAAATCAATATCTTTGTAAAAAATAACTCTCTTACCAACTTTGATTTTTATTTTTCACGTGTTCTTTACAGAAGACCGCGGTCATAAAGACTGTGACTTTTAAAAAGTGTTTGTTGAATTTTATTTTATTTTATTTACCATGTTATCTGTATATAATGTATATGTTCACTCATGTTTTATTACTAAAAATATGCAATTCGTATTTGTAGCTTTCAAGTAGAGCAATCCCCGGAAAAAAACAAAAACAAACCCATACGTGACTCCATGATCCTCCGTCTCGCTGACTATAAGCCCTCGAATTTAAAGTTGGAAAGCACAAGACCTTCAAAGAATTAAATTTCGTGTACGTCATGAATACTAGTGCCATTGGTTTTTCGAATTTTCCGACGGTACTTGAACATATCATAGCAATACATGCAGGACTCCACTAGATGACGTATTCTGCAAAGAAACCACTCAGCCCTAGAGTAGAGAGGGCTCTGCTTCTGACTTGTGCTGGAAACTGGACCTAAATTATGGACAATAACTTTTTTCTTTTCTTTATCTACATGTGTGTAGAATAATTTTCACCACCAACTAAGATATTTAAAAGCTGTATAAATAAAAGAAATAAAAAAAAAATTGCACACACCCTACTGACAGAAATAAAAACCTGGAGCTGGTTTGCTTCTGTATCATTGAATGTGTACTTGTCTAATACATGCTGTTCTTTGCTGGCAGAGGAAATGAAGCCCCGTACTTGGTCCCTCCCAGGCCGCATGATGACGTTGTCCTGCTGACACTACGGATGTGGCCCTCATTGCTGGAATCTATTTTTAGATCCAGCCTCAAGGGCCAGACAGACAAACAGGGCAAACTGTCACTCAGACCACCTGCCACAGTTAGGCAAGTAGCCAAGGCATGCTGGCTGTGCGAGACTGAAAAAAGAATAAGAGTACTGCAGTTGTGACCTTCATCAGAGGCTTCAACTTCCTGAGAATTTTGTTTAGGTTGATAGAAATATCTCAGCGTCCCTGGTGGCCTCTGTATTGTTGGAGCTACGTGAAGGGGAGGAAAATAGAAACACATATGTATCACTCATGGGCAGGACAATATATCTGCAGCCGAGGACAGTGGATATCATATCCTCACTATTGTTTCATGGAATGTAGGGATTTTAAAGGGGAGTTCCACTAAATTCACACATAAAGGTCATTTTATTCGTCACAAGGTAGTACTCGCCCTGTTGGAGTACTTGTACAATAAAAAACAGTTCTTTAAAGGCCCTAGTTTCTACAGCTATGGGACCATCATTGCGTAGAGAAGCCTTTAAAGCACTCTTGAGAATATTCTATGACTTCTCTCAGAAATGTAATACTGACACCTTTAAGAAGAATGAAGAAGCAGCCAGAGGTTCTGGAGCTCTAGTACATCTTTTCCACTGATGCAGTGCCAGTGGCTAAAATAGAACTCTTTAAACTCTTTAAAGACCACACTGCTACAGAAAAGCCCCACATGCTGGTCTTAAATTTGTACCCCAAAGATCAGTGGCAATCAGAAGAAATTCACGGGTGATTGCTGATCCAGTGTGCTAACATTTCCTTTCCCATTGGAGTCACTGCAGCTTCCATGACAGTGTTTGGTTCTAAAACTCTAAAACAAGGCTGGTTCTCCAAAGGTGCCAAGGAAGAAGTCTTGAGGAAGTCTGGTCACATGACTAGGATGACTGCATCACAGAGATGCTGTCCTAAGATGTTTTGGACTCATATAGAGTTCCCAGATTCTCAGCCACCACACCATGTTTGAGGTTAGGAAAAACCTTCTCAATTCCCGACACAGAACCCTTTGAAGTAGAAAAGCCTGGTGTATTTATTTTCAACTGTTGGCACCTGATAGAGTCCAAAGTGGCCACTTTGACATGTTTTGTCTGGATGCGCTTTAGTTTCTTATATTTTCCTCATTTTTTGGTAACCTTTTGCTCTTAGTCTCAGGTGGAGTTGTTGGACTGGCATTAAGTCTCAGGTTTTCCTGTCTGGACAGTTCTTCCCACGCCTGTTCCTAATGGTGTGATTAATGAATAATTTTGTTGATGGGTGGTGATTGTCCTTGCTGTGGTTGTCTGTAATCTCCTGTGCCTGTGTAATGCTCTTTCTCTGTGAACATGCTGCCTCCAAGTCACACATTCCTGAAGACTGTGAGCACCATCAGCTGCTTTTCTCAGCTCTGGCATGCCAGCACAGTCACCCTCAAAGGACTAACCTCTTCTCCACCTGCTTGCCAGCTCTCCACCCATCTCCTCTCAGCAACTAGCTAACCAAGTATACCTCCTGAGTTCTGAGTAAGACACTTGAAAACTCTCACTCTTACCAGTATCCGTCTTGCTGCACTTCAATAAACATCTAAACCTGCCAGCGTCTGCTCTTGGTTGGTTGTTCAAACCAGCTTAAGACACAGTAACAGGTGAGAAATCATATTTCATTACAGAATGAGTGTGGACATTAAAGGGAGTGGTAAAGCAAATATACAGAGAGCTCATAAGGCACATCTATCTGCACAGCTGAGGCTATTAGAACATATCTGCTTAACTCTGGTTCTAATGTATACACCACAGATCTGCAGTGAAAGACCTGCAGTCAAAACAGTAACCTGCAATACTGCAAGACTGACCTGGGAAATGTTTGCAGGTGAGACTGATCTGGAAGACTATGCCAGTTCAGTTCTGGGATGCAGACACTTTTGCATTACAAAAAAAGGACAATAAAGCTGTACAGCAAAGCAGGAATGCAGCCTTCAGGTCAGGGTACAGAGGAGCCTACAGCTCAGCCATATTTACTTCCTCCTCTCCATCTGCTTTCACGCATTCACTCATTTAGGGATCTGAATTCAGCCTACAAGAAGTGTAGCTCCTTGATCTTCCCAGTCATTCATCTGACACCAAGAAATACCAAGCAGGATGCAAACAGGCAGACAACTGCTCCGATTTGACTGTATATCATTTTATTTTGCGTTCTCAACATTGTCACAGTACTAGTTTTACATCAATGGGTATTTTTCTACTTAGAAACAGAATGCATAATAAAATAAGAGCACTCCTCTCTTCCCTTTGACTTCAGAAGTCTGGCTGTGAGTGTGAGAAAACAGAAGCATCTCAGGAAAGACGACAGAAACGGTGTTAGCCGTGTAACAATTGGCTGTTCATCTCTAGATCCTATGATAATTCAGTCCTGTCGGAGGCAGAGAGAAGCAGTTTGATTATGTAAAGATCACAAGGGAGCAGGAATGCACCTTCAATGTAACTGTAGACACTGAATAGTAATAATAAGAATAATTAATAACAATAATTTACAGACTATTTACATATGTTACTCATTCTTTATTACCAGCTTGCCATTAAAATATTTCCTCCATGTCCAGCCCTCTTTACTTTTACTTCAAGTCACATTAGATTCCATATTTACACTCAGCAGTACGCTGCCAGGTCTTTATACTCTACAGTGGAAATATGGGTGAAATGCATGCCGGAGGAGAATGATGCACAAACAAAAAGACACACTAGCAGGCCAAAACTCGTCTAGATGTAAACAAGCACAAGTCAGGGAAGTCGTAGCTATGCTGGAAGGTTAAGTTCTAGTCAAGCACGCCGCTTGACAGAGCAACGGTTGAAAAAACAACAACAAATGAAACCAAAAAAAGAGAGTAGAAGAAAGAAACAGTAGGCATCAATGGCATGCAGCAAAGCACCTCACATGGAATCTGGACAGGTTTCACAATAGATCAGTGCTCTGAAGGAACTGGAAGGTTGTAGGGTAATAAAAGTAACTCGGGCTCCTTTTTTGGGATCTGCCTGTACCTTTACTCTCTAATAGCCTGTTGGTGTTCGAATCCTGGTCTGAAGACAAACTTTGTGATTGGTCGGGTACAGCGTTGGGTTTTAAATACAGCCCGCAGTAGATTTCATGTTAAACTGATTTTAACAATGCAATATTGGCACTTTCCTGACACTGTAGCACAGAAACTGCAGCCAACTATAAGGTGTGAAAGTTACAGGAGCCTACAGTGCACGGACACAACAAAATCTATTTTAAAGGTACTTTTTGTAAGGACATATTGCAAATTGTACACATGCGTTAATCAAACTTTCACCACCAGGAGGCAGTGGTTTTCTCAGCAGGTGTGTTGAAATGTTTACGGAGGCGTCGTTCTTTTCATTTTTTATGTTTTTTATTGTGTTGCCTTTTGCAGGCTACCATTGCAAATAGGAATGTTTTCGTAATGATTTACCTGATTTACAAGTTGTAAAGTTACATTTATTTCAGCACCATCTTGTGGAACAAATGTGCATTGCATGAAAGTACGGCTGGGCCTTATTTTAACTTAACCCTGTAACGCCAAGTATATCATAATTGATACATGAGATTTTTAGACCCTTACATTATCAGTGTGATTTATTTTTTCCTGAAAAACCTGAATAAACTGCACAATAAAATTTTAAGCAATCAATTGCATAAAAATGCCAGTTGTAGCAATAAATTAAAACTCATATATGCAAATTGATATTTCACTTCTTTTTTTGTAAAAAATGAAAAGTGAGGTTGAATAAACACTCTCAAATGAATTTTCTGGCAGTTATTTCTTGGTTCAGGCTTTTCAGGGTTAATCCCATACAGAGATGACGTCGATGAAGTCATAGTATTTGGTTTCCCCCCCACATTATTTGACAGCTTCAGTTCATTTCAGAAGTTTTTTATTCTAATGGAATAGATTTTAAATACGTACCTTTAAATAAAATTTTACTTTTTCTACAAAAAAAAAGAAAAAAAAGAAAGAATCTAATTGGTTTTTTTTAAAAACATTACTAAATGCTTTACAAAATCAGTAATAAAACTTTAAGAAGCACAAGCTCTGGGTTGCCAGGTTGTAAGGTCTTGGCAAATCTACATCCTCACTGAACATTTCCAGGAAATACTGAAGCAGTTCTCATAGTTTTTGTATCTTATTTGCTTAGAGTATCACCTCAATAAGAGGCAGGTTATACTGTTTTATGTGAGAGTGGAGGGGAAACTGTGCCAAGTGTGGAACCTGCTTTGTATATCAACGAAAATCACTTGAAACTGCCCTATGGACTTTGCACAAACTCTAAATTCTGCTTGCACACGTGGGAGGTTTTACTTGTGCTTTCCAAACCAGAGTGGAATCATATAAAATTGCTTATTAAACCTACTAATGTTTGGAAACTCAACAGAGCACCTTTAGCCTGTGGAAAAAATTTGAAAATTACATTTGAAAATCTATATACTGATAACATTGTGCAGCCAATCAGAAACTAAATGGCTTAAAAAGAAGGAGAACAGAGCTGTAACTGCTTGTTTCAGACAGCGCTAAACTGAGTATGTAATGGATTATTCTGAACAGTGAAAAGCATGCAAAGCTACTGCAATAAAAGCAGAGAGCTAAAAAACAGTGTAGCAAATACCATTTATAATAATCAGCCAGCTGCAGACTACGGATTCCTGGAAAAAAAAGCTACTTTTGGCTGCTCTTTGCCAAAGCAGTTAGCGCCTCATGTTTGATGCCCGTCCTTACACAAACACCAAGGGATCTGTGTCTCTTCTCTGGGTTGAAGAGGGGACATTTGGCTTGTTGGGTGAATGTGTAAACTACTAGACTGTTAGAGAGAAACCTTAAAAACGTGTAATTTATAGTATATCATAAAAATGTGTAATTTCCTGTATAACTGGGTAAACATTAGGCCACAAGACACTTTCCAGAACCTGGCAACCCAAGAGTTGTCTTATAATGAATACAAAGAGCATTTCTAAGCGTATTATTCAATCAAACATTATGAAGCAAGTACAAAGTGTGGCTTTAACTGAGGGCATATATATTTAAGAATACTGATCTACTGGACACCACTTGAAAATGGTAACGTGTGCGCCGCTGACAGACAGAGAGAAAATGTGAAGATAAAAGTTTCCTTTTTAAATAATCGATTATCACTCTGATTTTCAAATGACAGAACACACAGAGCTTCCCCGTTACAGCTTTGATCAGGTCCTGCTTTAACTACAGTTGAACACTAACGATCCAGTTTAACTACTGTACTGCATGTGGTTAAAATACAGATTTGGTTACTTATCGTCTGGAGTGACATGAACACATCGCTGACTTCGGTTAGCTGTATTTGAAGAAGTCAAAACTATTCTACCATTCTTTTTTTTTTAAACAACTGTCAACTGTAACACTGATATAGTTTGGGAGTACACAGTTTGAAAATAGCCTCAAGATATAACGTTACATGCAGTTCTTTTCTGTGACACTCTGCATCAGTGTGAAAGGTCCAGTTCCTCCAAATCCATGTGGATACTTGCACTTCACTGAAACACTGAGAAAGAAATGCCAGAGGACGCCGGAGGGAGAAAGTAAAGGGCGAAACTAACAGAACGACCAACAGATTGAACTTGTTCTTCAACAAAAACAAACAACAACAACAACAAAAAACAGTAAATACATATTGCACTAGTTTAAAAAATGCATCTCACAGTCTTTAAGCAGATACAGACTAACTCCTGCCATTGATATCAGCTATGTAGAATGAGCGCTGCATCTGTTGCTTTCAGAAACAGAAAATATGCTCCAGGACAGCAGCCCCCCTGCCTCCGCTCCACACACACACCACAGATACTGTGCACGGGATGACCGGGAGGTACAAGCAGCCATCCCATAATATGTCAGAAAGATGATTGATATAAAACCGCTCTCCGTAATGAGTCAAGCATAAGGGCGCTGTCACCATCACAGAATGATAATTATTGATTTTTGCTCTGTGGCGTCCATCCCAGGGAAAAAACCTCAAGACAAAACAAAACAGTCAGTTACGGCACGCTCGCCGTTCCAGCAGACGCACGGGGAAACCGAAGAGGGAGAGGCCACGCTCAGCCAGCTGAGAGCTTCCACAGTGGGACATGTTTCCCTGCTGCACAGTTTCTCCCTCAGTTTCCACATGAAAAACATCCAGCGTCGTCCTCCTCCCCCTGCAGGACAGACTTGCAGAGTCCCACCAGGCTGCAGGACAGCCTTTATATATTCGTATTGTTCATTGGATTCTAAAAAAATAGTTAAAAAAATAAAAGGAGGGCAGGCAAGCAGCGAGTGCCGCTGGCTTCCTTTGCTTTCAGAGCAGGGGAGAGAGAGAGCTCCGGCCCGGAGACACGTGCAGTGGATGAGACTGTAGGTGGGCTGGAGTGCAGCAGCCCTCAACAATCTAACTTCTAGCTCAAAGGCAACCATTCACAGCAGTACTCTTGCGTCCGACTGCCTAACTAAGAAAAGCTTTGATTGGTTTCTTAACAGTGAAACTACGCCATCTATGTGCAAGTATAATACTGAGAGTTTTCATCGATGCTGTTTGTTCTGTAGTAATAACTATAATAATAACATTTGATATTATTATTTTACAAAATACTATGCACAATATACATAAAGCAATCTGTGTGACTAAATTAGTAAATGCTTTAATAATTGGCACATTTATCACTGCTAACAGAGATATCACAGTGCACTGTGAGCTACTGCTACATTAAATACTTGCACAGCCACGGCTGAGGCTGAGCTGTCGTCTTCGTGTCTGTTCAGCCAAACCGTCTTGACAACGTTTAAAGTTACTGTGTGAAGATTAATATGTACTTCTTGTGTAAAATACTAGTAAGCGAGTTCCGGTAGTTTACTGAGAAACAAACAGTAGTTGTGGTCTTTGTGCATGCTCTTGTCTGTTGCTCCTGAAGCGGGTAGACATGTCTTATGTCCTGAAACAAAATGATAGAAGCGGCTCTAAAAGAAAGGAAAAAAATCTGAAGGAGGCACAACGGGATCTCGTCTGGCTTCGTAGCCCCAGACCGGCGATGCACAGTGCCACCATCATGTCAGCCCAGGAGGAAAAAGTTCAGCTGCAGGGTCCAGAGAGGACGACCTGCCCCTCACACCACTGTGCTGATGCCGCTGTGCTTGGGCTTGGTGCTGCTGGGTCCCTGGGAGGATGGTGGCGGTGCGCCGTGGTGGTGGGGAGGGCCGTGAGTGGGGTGGGTGGAGGAGTGCGGTGGGTGGCTCCCGTGCCCATGGGGCCCGTGAGGATGAGCCGGGTACGGCTGCTGCTGGCTGTGAGACGGGGGAGGGTGGTACTGGTGCGGTGGGTGCTGCAAGTGGGCCGGCGGGTGGTAGTGGTGATGGTGGTGATAAGGGGGTGGGTTCTGGGTCATGTGGCAGAACTGGGCGTGGTGCGGGTGCATGGGCACCGGTCCTTCCGTCTCCACGCGGGCTGTGTGGTGCAGGTTGGCTGGGTGCGGGGTGTGGGAGATGAGAGTAGGGTGCAGCTGGGGCTGAGGGGTGGGGCTTGGCGACTTCACACGCCTGGTGCCGAACAACGATCCGAGCAACGAGGAAGAGTTGGGCAGGGACTGGGCGCTGTGACGGGATGGGCAGTCTCGGCTGGACGGGGCTCTCCGCCGCATGTGAGGACTGCTAATGATGGACCCCTGCAAGAGAGAAGGCTGTCAGATCACACAGACAATCACGAGATCCACAGCAGACAAACGCACACCTGCACTTTCGTATGCTCTGCAGCGTGCACAGCCTCGCTCAATTCTTTTCACAGCGGCACCGACCACATGACCAGCTACAGCTGATCTCAAATCTCCCATGATTGCTTGTGCTGCCTTGTGGAAAAGCATCGCCATTTCCTTTTCCAGTTCACTGCCTTTGTTTGTCTATCCATGCTAACATCTCACGCTCCACTCTCCCTAAATGGTCTGGAGGCTCAGCTTGCCGAGCCTGTCAGAGCCTGCAGTGTCTGCGCTGTCATGAGTAGACACACAGCTTGTACGTCTTCAGCTCTGACAGCAGATGCTTTTGTGAGTTTTCATCACTCCTACCTCTGGTTTCTGAGCTCTCTAAATACATGCAAAATCACTTATGGATCTGTGGACAACAATCTGACACTGCAGACCTGAATAAGGTTTTTTGCCATTTGCATGCAGCTCATACAGAAATTTCCCCCAAGCCTGGTGAAGAAGTAATTTGTACATTTTCTTTACATTTTCATAGCACAAAACACACAATAAACGATAAATATAACATAAGATAAATACAACACAGTCTAACCAAAATTAATAAAGCCATGCATAAAGTGCACAATGAACTTATAATAGATGATCTTCAAAATCCAAAAGTTCAGCCTATTTAATTATGATCTATACGTGTGTTTTTATACATGAATACTGCTAAATTAACAGAGTTGCATAATATTCTGAATGATTTGCGATGGTGTCAGCGTGCTTTGAAGGTAGTGCATTTTATTTAAATGACAAGGAAGGGTAGTTGTGAACTGTTTTTAAAAGTTAAACACTTTGAGCTGGAACTAATTGACTTGTGATGTTGGTTTATAGTGCTGAAGGAATTTAAATCAATCTATTTATACGGCGTCAAATCACAACAACAGTCACCTCAAAGTACAATATAATGTAGGGTAAAGACTGCAAAAATACAGAGAAAACTCCAATAATCAGATGACCCCTATGTGGAAGCCCTTGGTGACAGTGGGAAGGAAAAACTCCCTTTTAACAGGAAGAAACCTCCAGTACAGCTTGGGGGAGAAGGGATGGAGTAGATTCAAAGTAAATGTGTTTTAAATGTGTTTTAAAGCCTTTAATATTTCTGTGTTCTGTTCTAAAACATAAAATACATTTTAAAAAATGGTAACGTAGCGATCATGCTTCAGTCCCAGTGATTCTGAATCTAGTCTGAAGTTTTTCAGAGATGGAGAAATAGTAAGTTGTGGTATCTCTTCATGGGACTTGTGTAGTAATAGTTAGATTCAAGCTAGCATTGAAGTAAACTAAAAATGTATGCTAGTCTCAAATCATTAAATCAAGTTAACTCTGTCAGCCATATATAAAACAGACCAGGTCATGTTCTCATTACTTTATAATTTACAGTATCATTTTTTTATTTTTGAATTACTCATCTGAATCTGCTAACATAAGTTATCAATGCAAACAATAGGGTAAAAACTTCCATATTATGCTGTAATACAAAGGTAATGCAGAACACTGGACTGGAGCACAAACTGGAGGAAGTTCAGAACAGTCCCACTCTGAGTAGGTACAACATATCATCCTCTATGTTGGATAAGTGCAACAGTGAAAAAGGAAAGGACAGGACTTTCTTGTTGATGTCAGAGGTCTGTAAAAGAAACTTCAAACTGTGTCAGCATGCAGTAGAACTGTCAGGATCATCCTGAGTGATCAAAAAAGGACAACATTCGGGTAATGGCTAAAAACTGTTCCCACTACAAAAGCCAAGATAACTCAAACGTAAGAGCCGATCATCAACGGAGCTGTCAGGACTTTATTAGTCGTGCCATGCTGTGTACGTGAAGGGTTAACATGCTAGATGCAACATCATTCCCGTTCTACTCAAAACATGCACAGCAGCCAATATGCTCACGACTAAAACACAGACACTCAAAAAAAGAGAGAAAAACACTACAAAGAAACAATGAAACAGAAACTTGTGATCACAGTGAGCAACGTAAAGTCGGAGGACAGCTCAGCATCAGTTGATCCAAACTTACTTCCATATTGCTGTCTAGTGATCCTGCACTGCTGCGTCTCCCACGCTTGCCTGCCCAGAACATGTAACATGACAGATAAGACATGCCTGGTTAAAATATGGAGGTGCACATATTTCTTGTCTGCGACGGCAGGATGCTAACACGCTAAAGTGGTACACGGCTAGCTGGTGGCAGACTAGCGTGGCAGAGGGAGGCGAATAAGAACTAAAGGAAATGGGAAAGGAACAAGACACTGCTCCGAAACAAGGTCAGAGATAAATCTGTGCAGTCAACTTGAGTCACTGCTGGCAGGAAACCTTCCCATCAGCAAAACAACTGATCTGACTGCAAGAAAATGATTCTCATGTCCATTAAGATGAAAGACTCCCAAGGGACAGTTCTAAAAAAGACTGGGTGAAATCAGGGGCTAAAATATGCAATTATAAGCAATATTCAGTGTTTTAAACTCAATGTCACTAACTAAGGAATGTCAATGAATGTTACTGACTCAGGCTGATGGTCTAAAATTCTCAAAGGAACTATTACACCCACAAAACTGTGGCTCTCCTCATAACTGGTACTTGTAGATGTGTAGAGCTCCCCTTTAAAGATAGAGAAAGTTCCCCGAGAACATCTAGGCTTCCGAAATCCAGATATTGATCAGGCTTTTAAAGGCTGTCCCTCATTTACCAAAAAGACACGCTGATAAAAAAACGACAGCTCACTTCAGTCTTCGAGGTTGCTTCCTCACTTTGAGGTCATTGAGTGTGCTTGTGCAGAGCCGACTGTCTACACCCCGCCTGAATGGTAACATTAATTCCTCTTACTGCTAAGACTCTCAAATTGATCGCACTGACCTACATAGCTCTGCCTCCTCCCCCTTGCGATGCAGGATTATTAGTTGATAGCCTCTGGTAAATTATACGTAGGCCCATTAGCAAACACACCCATCTCTATCTCCTTGCTTCACTGGCTCAGACACTCTGTACCGGCAGGATGGCCGCCATGCCGTATTCCAAGTTTCTAAATCGATTAACATCCAGAAGGAGTAAACAGTGTCATGCCAGCATCTAGCACAGGTACACAATCTACTCAGCCTAGATGAGGGATGAGACAGCATGTTACTATGGCAACCCCTGACTTTACCTGCATCTGAGAGATCGCGTAGGGAGCTGCTGAGGGCGCTTCTCTTCAGACCTTCACCGATGGCATAGCTGTCGTCGAGGCTTGCTCGGCTCAGGTTTCCGTTTCCTGCATCCTTCTTTAACCCGGAGCTCTGTGACATGCTAGGCCTCACCACGCCCTTCTGTTTTTCCAGCTCAGCTGTGCAAGGAGAAAATACATATGTGCCATATACTCCTGGCTTCCACATATTTTCTACTGATGCGAGACAGCTGCTGATATCGTCTATAAAAAATGGGAACAATTTACTCACATTCTATCCGGTACTTCTCCATCTCTTGGACTTCTGCAATAGATTCTCGCAAATCATCAGTGAACTTTTTGCGGTCCTGAGGATTGGGTGCATTGAAGTTGATGAGGACTTTGATATCAGCTCCAGGAATGGCTGAAGTCAGGCGAACGCCATTGGGATAGTCTAAAGAATGATGAAAATAACATTTCAGACATTATACTATTGAAGTCTATTAGAGTTAGGACTGATGTTACCAGTAGGACATAATAGGATCTGAAACCAGCTGCGGGATATCAGAACTACCATCAGAGACAACAGATTTAGGATATTAAAGTATGTGTATGTGGAGTATGTGACTTGGATTATAGATATAATTCAAAGTTTCCATGATGGCAAGCTCTGAGGTTGGCTGTTATCCATCAAAAATGAACTTTCCAATAGACTTTCCCATTGGGATTTCTGTTAAAGGAACCATGTGACTTAAGTTTAAGTGCGAGAGTTTAACCTTCAAACAGTCCTTGTTTAGGAGGTTCTGTTGATGGAACATTTGGGATCTTTGACTTTGTTCATTTGTATTCTTGTATTTTCCCACTAGTGTCCATTGGCCATTTATAAGAACCTGCAACTGCAAACAGTTATTTTTTGTGCCCGCTTAGCTTTGAAAAGTCATGGAGCTACAGAGGAAGTCCTGAACTGTCTAGGAAGTTTTTGCATAGAAAGGCATCAAACCGGATTTTCAAGCATGACTTTTGTCGGTGCTATATAAATAAAAACGAATCAAATGAAATGAAATTTGACACAACAGCCTACAATGAGAAAGTCAGCTTTAACATTCGTAATAATAATTTAAAAAGATGCAGTTTAAAAGTAATAGTTTCTGAAAATGTCCGCTAATCAATTTGCGTTATGAGATCAGACCAAAAACAGGGCTGAAGAAACTTGTAGTTCCCTAACATTAGTTCCCTAACATTAGTTCCTAGAACTAAGGGGTCTGGGGACTCTCAGTGGACACACATCTATATCACAGTGAGTGCTTCATGCAAATACTACTTACACTGATTCTCAAAGAGGAGGACTTGCATGCCATAAAGAGAGAAGGACTGTCGAAAGCTGTATGTCACAGAATTCTTTTTCTTCTGGAAGATTTTTGTAACCTGTGAAAAAAGCAAAGCACACACTCTTTTTAAGAGTCTTTCACTCTAAAACAGAGTTTGTTCTCTTTTTACTGAAAGTAACATCTGCCGTACCACTAGCAAGTCATTGAAAAGGAAGATCTCCCTTTGGTGCAGGCCCAACTTTTGAGGTTTGTTGGGGTCGGGCACTTCAAAAAGTCTGCAGTAACAGACCAGTCTCCGGTGGGGTAGAGATAGTACCTGCACAACACAATACAGTATAATTTCTTATTCTGTCTCTTGGTGCTTCACAAAGAGCTTTCAAACATGCTGCTTCAAACTTTATGCCTCATACAGCCTTGAGGAATAACAGAAAAATCCCACTCAGTGCTAATATGAAAATAATTGAAAGGAAATACTTACACAGCCAAGACCATGATGTAAAGAGCCAATCTAAGGAGTAAGAAATCAAACAAAACACATTTCAGAGCTTGAGGGACACATGTGAAAATGTATGCAACAAGAATGATAAGAAGTTTCAAGCAATGTTTAAGACCAAATTAAAAACCAAAACAGTTTTACGGATGACAGAACCACGCTGCCAGAGTCCTTCACTTTCCTCTTTTCCAACTCCGTCCCCCATAATGGTCATGACATCATAAGGATCATCTCTCAGGTATCAACTCACAGAAGGAGTAGTTTTCAAATAAACGGCTTCAAGATCATTATGAGCGAGGCTGTTTATCTCATTTTTACACAGCTTGTTAGCTCAGACTTTTCTTGTGGTTGGTACTCAGGGCAAACAACATACTGCAGTAATTCACAATGGTATAGTAGCCCTGAAGGGTCGCACGGTGAAGAAAGCTGGCCATGAATTAACCATCACACTATAGCAGTTCAGAGGCACACTGGGTAATTTAGTGTTAATGCTCCTGCTTGGATTCAGCTCTTGAGTGGAGGTTTTTAAAAGAAAAGGAGTTACACTTCACATGTAGCTGTCCAAGGTCAAACTCCAACTTACTGGCTTTTTTCCAACGATTAGCTTTTCCACTTTCTGAACCTGGGAAACGTGGTCTTCATTTGTCTTGAGCTCCCGCTTGCGAATCCGTTCGTATATCCCTACGAGCATCTCTCGGGGGATGTCCTCCCCATCATCGACTCCTGCCGGGGGATAAGAGGAAAAGAGAAATAGAGAAAAAAAGAGGGATTAATGATTAAATTGCAGATTTATGCAAGCCAAACCTCTAAATATACTTACTTGCTGCATTGCTTATGTATCTCAAAATACATACAGAAATGTCCTTCAAAGCTCTTTGTGGACAAGTATTTTCTCCTCCATTCAATACTGTACTTTAATTACAGACACTTCAATAGGCAGAAAAATTATTCAGTCATGCCATAAAGCCATTTCCTAATACCCTCAAAATCTGTTGAGGACAACTAAAAAGTACTTTGCTTCGACAGGAAAGCTTTCTTGGCCATGACTTCCAAAAAAATAAATACCTTATTGACATGGCCATTAATCAAGGCAATGTGCATGCACAAAACTCAATTTTAAGATGAATATTTATCCTCAGAGAAACAGTAATGTGTCAGGGGAATACTGGTTTTGTGACAGAACGTTGGATGTGGTGCAGTGAGGGAGAACAAAGTACCTCTAAGGTTCTTAACAAAGTCCTCCAGCTTCATCTTCCTCTCAGGCTTGACGTTGGGGCTGTACATGTCAGTGTTGAGGAGGATGATTGCAAAGGCAAGGATGAAGATGGTGTCGGGGTTCCTGAATTGTCGCACCACACCGGGGTTGCAGATGCAGTAACGCTGGCTGGGAAGAATATGTAAGGAGCAGAAACTGAATGCAAAAATCATTGTTCTGATAAAAACAATAAGTGTGTAAATTAATATTTGGGCCATTAATCCACCTATATTTACCCCTAACAGACAAAAGCACAACTGTGCTATCAAAGTGCAGCCATTGCTAACTTTAGCTAGATAAACTAATATATTAACAGAGCTATTGTATGTATTATAAGAATTTACTATGATGTCTTTACATAGTCTACATCTAAATATAAGCATTACATTAACAGACAGAGGTGCAACAACTAGAGTCATGGTGCCACGACAATAACTTGGTCTTAAACACCAAAAAGACCAAGGAGATCATTGTAGATTTCCGGAAGAGGGGTCATAACAACCATCTGCCTCTCTTCATTGGCAGTGAGGCGGTGGAGAGGGTGAGCAGTTTTAAATTCTTGGGGGTAACTGTGACCGAGGACCTGTCCTGGGGCAACCATATCACCTCAGTTGTACGGAAGGCCCAACAGCGCCTCTACTACCTGAGGAAACTGCGGAGCGCACACATTCCCAGATCTCTGATGTTGAACTTCTACAACTGTGCCATCAGCAGCGTTCTGACGTATGGATTTCTAGTGTGGTTCCCCAGCTGCACCAAGGCCGATCAGCAAGCACTCCAGCGGGTGGTGAAAGAAGCTGGCAGAATTATTGGAACAAGTCTGCCAGAGATCAGTAATATCTTCCCCACTCGCTGTCTGAGGAGGGTGCACAGTATCCTGCGGGACCAACATCACCCTGCGCGCCACCTTTTCCATCTGCTGCCCTCAGGGAGAAGGTACAGGTCTATACAGGCCAGAACATCCAGACTGGCCAACAGCCTGTATCCACAGGCTGTGAGGCTCCTGAACTCTCTGCCCCCCTCTCACGGACAATAACCATATCCAACTTCTTAATAGCAATGAACTGGTCTGCATTGGTGCATCATATCTTTATTCTCTTCCCCCTCTTTCTTAAATAGATAACTATCATATCTGATATCATATCTCACAGTACAATAATATTGAATGGGTTGCATTGTTGTATTTTGTCATGTTTCTCAGGTCTTTGTCTGAATTTCTACGAACATTATTGCTAAGGATTGTCTTATTGCATTGGAGTCACACTGGGTTAAATATGTACACTTGGGTTTTAAGGGGTATTTATTATTTTCTTCTTTTTTTTTGGGTTGTATGGAAGCCCCAAACGCAATTTCATTGTTCTTGACAATGACAATAAATAAATAAATACCAAATACCAAATACCAAATGCATCAGTACTGACTAACGTACAGTAGGTGACAATATGCTAAAATTAGCACGCTAGACTAATTAGCTCATTTAGACTACCCAAAGACTTGAGACCTGAGCCAGTTTCTAAAAATGACCTTAATGCTACTGAAATAACACAAATAATATTACATCAATTTCACTTTGACTTATGTTAGATGCATTCTGGAAAGTTACAATGCAATGTTTTGCTTGAACATAGGAGCTAGTTGATAAGAAGGCATCAGTAAGACAACTTACTGGCAAAGTAAAGGTGTAAGCTTCCCTGTAAGCGATTAGTTCGGGGCATAGGTATCAATGCTTCACCTGATATTAATATTGAGCTCTCTGCTATCTGTTCTGCAGTCAAAGAAATAATGTGCAAGTACAGTAACATTTGTCAATACAGCCTCCATGTATTACACGGGCAATTTCTGAACCACCACAAAGGGAGCTTGTACTCATATCTGGATATGGCTGCAGGTGAGCACCAGATGAGTAGTCATCACTATCTCCCCTGTAACTGTGCTGTTTACTGAGGCCGAAATGTCCTTGCTCACTGCTGATCGAAGCGAATTCTCTATGCACACGAGGGCACCTTTTCTGCTGGAAGTTTTGGAAAAGTAAATGAGGCACAAACAACATCTATCAGCAGCCCTGAGGGAGGTATTCCTTCACTCTTTGAACTAATTTTCTCTAAATCATTTTCTACAATGCCTTGGTCGAACAAAAGTCTGGATTTGAAATGGCTTTGCACCGCTCTATTGCTTTCTGCTCGCGACCGTTACATTTAGACTTTTTGGTGTCACCTTTGTTTTAGAGGATAATGGTGTTGTTGAAATGGAGCAAAGCTGGTTTGTGCTATCCATTAATCATAAACGCTATATTGGTGGTAAATACTAGACACGGCAATGAACCCCATAATGACCATCCTGTCACATAATCAGTTAGTCTAAATTGATGTATGACCCTATTTGCAAAAACATCATTTTACACCTCCTTTCTACAGAAAGGCACATGAAGTGGTTTAGATTTAAGCTACCTACATTGGTTTGGGAACTAAAGCCATGGTTTTGCACCCAACTTTTAAAAGCATGCCTTACCTGAAGGCCTCTATCAGTCGCTCTACCTTCTGTGCTTCCCCTTGGACTCTGATGTGTGCCTGGAATTTCCTGAGCGCTTCATCCAGCTCCATAGCTGAGAAGTCCATTTCATCCACTACGCAGCTGGTGAAAAACACACGAGTTCACAGTGAGCAGGAAGTTTGGGAGTGTAACAAGCACCTGCCAGTTCAACTGAGAATATTTTAGAAGTTGTTGGGTTTTTTTTTTAAGATCAAGGATGACTACAAACTTGGCTGTTGTCAGTGAGTAAGCTGATCTGCTGTTGATTTTTCAGATTATATGCAGGACATGAAAGGGAGCAAGAGTTTTTCTGCTCACTTGACACTTACTTAAGTAGAAGAAATGTTCATTTCTTCCTCTGCTGAGAAGAGGATTGTGACTCAGCACTCCAGAGCAGTGATACCTTGCATGTCTGGATTTATAGACATTTTCTCAAGGAGCCCTTTAGTTATGCCTGTCAAACTGACACCAGCGGACCTTTTCTGGCCTTATCCTCCAATGAATCTCAATAGGCTCTGACAGAGCTGGTGTATTTCAAGTGGGTCTAAGATAAGTCTGTGCAATCTAAAGCATGAGGCACTATTGGAATGATACAAAGGAGTGGAGAGTAGACAATCTATACGACTGCTCTCTCATATCAAAAAACCTGGAAACTATAAAGAGGATCTGTATGTTTATCATCATGGCAATTTCCTGAGTGGATTCCATTTCTGCTTATTTCCTGCATGTAACTTGAGTCATTATATAGTCCTTAGACAGTGTGAATGAGGGTAAATTACAAACTGCCAACCTTATGTGCAACTAAATGATGATTTATATTTATGTTCCCAGGAGGCAAATAAACTAACATTCTGTGCACTGGCATAGTTGGCAACTTGAATCAAAAGCCTGAAATGATTCATCCTCAAATACAAATATTCCAAAAGAGTACACCGGCATGATCTGCTGCAGACTCACTCGAGGACATCCCGGTTGAACTGTTTCTGCCGATTACCCAGGAACTCGCCAATCATCTGCCTACTCAAGCCTTTCCTCTGGAGCAGGAAGTGGGCCACACCCACCGGAGTGTCTGGAACAAAGTTTCGCTCTATCAGATACTGAATGCCTTTTTCTGGCTTCCTAGAGACACAGGAAAGAGTAGAGAAAGAGAGACCAAAAAAGAAAGAGGCAAAATGAGAGTGGGTGAGGACACATTCCAAATCTGTGATTATCCCGTTGCGCTCCTAACCCGGCCAAATGTGTGTCGCATGAGGGACAGGACGTAGGGAAGCCAGGAGAGAGTTACAACTCTCTACGGTGTTGATCACAAATGATTAAAAGGCATTTTATAGCGGGCTCAGAAAGCAACCAAATCCACAATCAGCAATGATTAAACAGATTCAGCCGGGCTCAAACGAACTGGAGCAGAATGAGTTTGAAGCTTGCTTGCACTTTACGCAGAACAGGCAGAGATAGTTCTTGTTCCAAACAACTTCATTGCATTTTAATGTGAGGTTCATTTCGAGTTTCTAAGACAAAACAAACAAAAAAATCCCATTTTGTAAGTCATGTGAAATGAACTGCATCGAATTTGAACAAGCCAAAGAGTGTGAATGTATCATGTGTTAAGTGACGTTCTATCGTGTGGACGTACTTGTTGAAGAGATTTAGGCCAATGCGGTAATGCCTCTTGCGAATGATGTCATTGCTGAATGCAGGTGAGTCCCAGCTGTTGCGAGTTTCTTTGTGGTACGTCTGCTTGCTGAGCGTCTGTTCACGCAGGCTGTCCCTGGACGAGGATTCAGAACTACAATTGATGGTATCGTTGGAGTTCGATGTGCTGTTGATGCTGTCATTGTCGCCATCTGAGAAATCCGACTCTGACTTGCTCTGCCGGTTTGCTGTACCATTGATTGCCAGATGGGCCTCCAGCTGTCGCGATCGATGTCGGGAAGTGTCTTCTTCTCTGGAAGGCCCTCGAGGTGGCAGGCTGTGGCTGACTTGTTTAGGGCTACTCTGCTGGTTGCTGATGCTTCGTTCGTAGGCGTTCTGTCTCTTTAAAGAGCTGCGGTCAGAACGATCACTCAGCTCCACTGAGCTATCACTGGGAGGCTCTATGGTCAATAAGGGTAGGTGATCTACCCGTAGACGTTGCTCTTGGCATTCCAAGGAAGGTGTACTGCGGCAGCTGGTATCGGTGTCCCCTTTTTCATCCTTATGAGCAAGAGACCAATAATCTTGTGAGGAGTTGAGCGAACGCTGGCGCAAGTCTGATTCTGTGCTTGAGGGCCGGTCTACAGACTGAGAAAGAGGAAGGGGTGGTGATAACTCCTCTTCGTCGATGTACAGGGTGACATCGCTGTAAGACGCTGTCATCTCATCGAGTTTACGGTGTTCTGAGGCGCTGTGGGAGGGTTTCACCTGACAGGTGACCTCTCTGTCCATATCCTGGAGGCCTCTCCCTGGCTCTGACTGACTGTCTTCACCATGTAGGCTGCGGCAGTTCAGAGCATCATCTATGGACTCGGCTAGAGATTTCACCTGCCTTGAAAAGGCATCTTCTAGTTCTGTGATGGCATCTGTGAAGTCGCTCTGTGTGGTGGGGGTCTTGGCCTGCACACCCATCTCCCCGCCATGGTCTGACTGCCTTAGTGCACCAATTTTAGTGCCATCATCTGTGAGAGAGACCTGCTTTCCCTCGAAGTAGGAGCTATGGACTTTTTCAGGTCCTTCAAAGGAAAACTGCATTCTCATATTGGATAGGACGATCCGTCTGGACATACGGTTCTCAGACATAGAGCTTCTAAGACGCTCAAAGTTTTTGTTCATCTGGTATTGGCGGAAAGCTGTCTGTATGGTGCGGGCAGCATGCCGGGTTATGAAACGCCCACCATATTTGCGCTCTAGCATCTCCACCTGTAGGGAAAGGAGGGGAATTTGAGAGAAATGAAAACGTATTGGAAACATGGGAACACTTTCCTCAATAGTCCCTTTAGACGTGTTCTTACGAGACTTGAGACTTGCAAAAGCATCCTACAATGGTACAACCGAAGCAAAAAACAAAAAACTAAACAAAAATAAGAAAACCCAGAAAGCTAATTTCCTGAGCTCTCTGGCAAAATATATTTGTCTGACACACAAAAAACATCGTTATGATAAAGATGGTTCATCTATGATCACACAGTCTAATTAAAGAGACTTGACCACATTATTTTTAAGAGATGCTAACACCAATAACTAAACAAGCTTTGTTCACTGAATGAAGCCTTGGGAGTAACAGCTGAAAGCTCTGAAAAAACTAGCAAGGATTCTAATCCTTCTGTCCAAAACAACAAAATGTGTGTCTGTACGCCACAGCCTGTAAGCACAATAGGTACAGGTGGCTTGTTTTATGAGAAACAGTACATTTTCTAACTGTATGACCACTTTAGTTCATTAACATAAATGTAAGATAACCAGAAACTGCTTTTTTCTCTGAAACTGAAAAGAACAAATCCTACTGAATCATTGCAGTGCTTGAGAGAAACAGTATCCTGTCTTGTATTCTGTATATGACTATACTGAAAAGTCTCAAACTATATGCCTCTAATTAGAATAATGTCAGGGCTGAATTGCATTGTCCCCCTCTCATTCCCGTACCGCTTACACTGACCTGGTTTCCACCTATGGACTCATGGGGGTAAAAAATGACACTAAATCTATACCACTTCTGTATGGGACGGCCAAGGAGGCGAGTGGGTTTATACTTGCCACAAATGGAACATGACAGGAAGTTTCAATGCAAGAAGTTAAGCAGTGACAAAAGGATTAAGCGGTGATATCATTTCCTATCGATAATGTATTACTAATATAGATGTCATACAGATGCTATTTATTATTGAAACACTATTATTTTGAAACAATGACAGTTTGACGTGTCATGTGATAAATAACTCAGAAGAGCATTTAGCTACATTTGACAGTGTGCTTAGTAACTCTGGTCTTTCTGGTTCATTCTAAGTTCTTAGTGCTTTCCTGTGGGCTTCAGCTATATGAAACTATAGAAGTAATAAATAAATGCAAACAGACTCTAGATACTCTATATAAACAAACTATGCTGTGAGTCTGTTTGGTTGGCACACAACCAGAGCTAAGGAGGGAATGATGCTCTCTACTGGGGTCACCAAAGTCACTAGATGATCTTTTATGTAGTTCTTCTAAAGGCCATGCACATATTTTCCTGTCATGTCCTTATACAAGAGTCTCAAATTCTACTCAGCAACACACTTTAATGCCTAGTTGCCTGCTTTTTCTTTGGGCTTGCTTACAGATAATACGCTGTATGGTTTCCACTACCCATAGTCCTCTCCATGTTGTGGTCAAGCCACAACCTCTGAGGCTGAACAATGAGGTCGACTTTAAAATGCCAAAAACTTCAGTTCCTCTAATGAGTACGGTACTTGAGGATGGTAGCAAATCTCAATATACGCTCAACTTACTCCTATTTAAGTCACTGAACAGGACCCTTTGACTGTGTTGATGCCTAATTTTGCTGCTAATTAAGTTATTGGTGTCCTCTGGAAAAAATGGAGGGATTCACTGTCATGTGGAGCCTTAGTACATGGCTGAAGACCAAGCAAACCATCCATGCCTACTACTGCTGGAAAAAGAAATGACTCTGACTATGAATTTTTTATGTGTTGAAAGCCTGTAACAGTCTGCACGGCCCTAAATACACATTACAAACTAACTGGACTTCCAAACTAGAAGGACTTGATGCACCACATCAGATATCATGGGGTGTAAAGCTAATAGATAATGGTGGGCAGCAAACTAATGAAAACATTATGAGAATACAATACAACAGGTTGCAATTTTTTTTAATGTTGACAGAAGTTTTGTTTTTATACTTTCAGAATGAATCAGTCAGAAAGTGAAAAATGGAAAAACCTTGGCAGGGAACTGCAGTTTTGGCTAATAATTCTCCTTTGATGTGCCACGAAAAACTAGGATCTACTACACATCTGCTCATAATGCCTCTGTGTTCAAGCTACTCATTACTCTAAGTTTTAACAAATTTAAGTTAGTGTGGCCCTTTCCCGTCTCACCTGCTTGTCCTGTAGGTCAGATGAGAGCTCATAGCTCTCTGACAGCGAGCGGGAGCGCTTGATTGCCTCCTCTTCTGCTTGCTTGCGGAGGATGGACTGAGAGTGCTGAAGCTTGGGCCGTCTGGGCCGTGGGTGGCCTGGCAGCAAGATGTGCCCGTAGAGCTGGCTGTCCAGGTGGTCGGGGCCGAGCCCGCCGCTGTGGGTCACTGGGACACAACTGTAGCCACCACTAGGGTCCACAGAAGCTCCCACTTCAGTTCCTGGAGCATCACCTTCCACACTGCGGCACACAAACACAGAGAGCACGCCAAGTTAGTCTGCTTAGTCATTTTCCTGAGTGCACACACTCCCTTGTGTGTGTCAGCACAGAGCACGTGACAGATGGAAAAAGTGAACTTTGATACTGCTGGCAGGGTATAAATGCGAGCGAGTGAATTTATAGCAGCAGTCAGTGTGCAGCCTGTCGTCTTTACACATTCTCTTTCCAGAGCAGGAAAAACCTCAGGCTATCCCAAGCAGCCGTACGAGCGAGGCACTATGTCTTAATTAAAACAAATGAAATGACTGTGAATAAAAGCTGACTGTTAAAGACACACTTTAACTCCACCGATGCTGAAATTACCACAACATTATCAGAAACCCAATCTTACTATAAACAAAGGGGCACCATGTCAGAACTGATTAAAGCATGTGAAGTAGTGCCTTGAATATTGAGATCAATACAGACCTTTGTTCTCTCACAGAAGTTCAAACATCAGTTTGGATAAACTGGCAATGACCGACCGGCTCGTTCCAGACTATAGATCGGTTCTCCCAGCATACAGCTGGTCTCCACACATCTTACACTGTTGTGATTTTCTACCATATATTTGGTTCTCAAAGACAGCTCCATAAGTATTCCTGTAAAGAATCAAAGATTCTGCCTTACAGGACTGATCTGACTGCTTTTTGAATGTTTGACGTAGTGAGATCTTCCTCTCCACTGACAAATGTTTGATTTAAGAAACTTTTTCTTTGTACAAGACTGGATGTCAATGTAAGGACATTAAATGCTTATGAGACTGCAGATAAACATTTTAGTCAAAAAAAGGAAGGAAGCTGAAATGAGGATTGCTGACGATAGAAAAAAAAAAGATGGCAAATGAATCTATCATGAATCAAAGTGAAACTGCACTTCCTCCCTCCCAATAGTTGCAAATCATTTTTTGCTCATTTACGGCTTATACTATCCACTGCTATCTACACACTTAAAACACAAAGTATAGAGTTGCAGGTGACAGCAGCGTGTCGGTCATACAGCTGGACAGCTGTGTGGCTCACTTTAAAGTTGCTATCGGCAGGCTTCCTTTTACTTCTCTTTTTACTTCTTCATTTTGGAATAAATGTTCATTTCACAATGTAGTGGCTATAATAATGAGAACATGCGTGTTCCCTATCAGTCACACATTTACTATGCAATTCTGTTTATCACCTTGTATGATGATGATGGCTACCAAAACAGGAAGGGCATATCTACTGGGAACTTACCATAAGGAGCTGAAATACTAATGGCAGAGACAAAATTAAAGGAAACCTGTTAGCCTAATACAGGTGTTTAAAAAAGACGTTTGGCTAGCTTTGATGGGTATTCTAATGACTTACAGCTGGGAGACATGACTTTAGGTCCACGACATGAATCATCCTTTAAACTCTACATCCTTTAAACAAGCATTACTACTTAAGCATTACTGCAACTACTAAAGGTTCATTAGCTTTGCAATCCCCCTCCACCCCAGCTCCTCCTTTCATGCCATCATGTCACTGATTCCTGCTCTGTTCTGCACTGGGTCTTGCTGATGCTCTTACTCCATGGTGTTCCATGTATGCACATGTGTGGAGGTCCCAGAACAGAGCTACACAGCCAAATATAAATGACAGCAGATGAAATAGCTGCCTCTCTTTAAATGCCGTGGTTTTGATTGAACTGCAAATACAATCCAACAAAAGGTGACTGCTGATATGTTCACAGTGGAATGTTTCTCATGCATGCAGTTGGTTTGCTTTCTGCACATGCCATTTTCCCGTGAATGTAGTCATGGAATTATTTGTTGCAAAAACAACAAGAAGGAGATCACACTGAAGCAATTGGTGAACACCTCAGGTTGGTGGCCTCTTAATATGCAGTGAGGTGGGGATAATAATCATGGTGCACAACTACACTTGTATCTTTTGTTGTAGTTCTCACATATGAGTCTGAGTTGCTCTTCAGTACTAATCATTTAGACAGCAACCACTGGAGACAGCTTAACTGAATTTTTGTGTCTACATTGTTTTGTGAAAGATATCAATCAACACTACAAGAACAGGTATAATATAGTACAACTCCAATTGCTACTTCCTATTAGTGTAAGCCGTCAACTGCAGTCGAGCTCACTTCTAAATTAGGCAGAACACTACATTAAATTGCTAATCAACAAAAAAAAAGACAAGCCTATCATTAAGGCTGGCTGCGAACCCCTCTGTTCACCACCTCCATCTAAGAACCACATGTGGTATATATCATGACTTTTTTTTGGTTTATTTGGTGAGGTCTCACTTTGGGGAGGCCTGAAAAATAGATTAGCCTAGAGCTTGGCCTCTGACCATTGATGTGTTTTGGCTCAAGTGGGGTACTTAAAGGACAGCCCAGCTGCTTATACATAGTGTGTAGGCATATTTCTGTATGTGGAGAACTGCTGTTTAAGAAACTCTGTGGTATCAGTGCAGAAGAATGGGATGTAACATTTGTTCCCCAATTGTTGATATTTTGTAACATGCATCCATGGTTGTTACTCTTCATCTGCATCTCCTAAACAATTATTTCTGCATGACAGACTCTCTTTTTCGGCCCTCAGGAAGCAAATTTACAAGTCCACCAGCAACCAGCAACCAGGCTGAGACATCACACAAATCAGAAAGTTGCCAATAGCTTCATGTGCAATCGTGATTTGTAAAAGATCACACCAACTACTGCACTGGCATGAGGAGTGAGACATCCAGAAACACTTAGCAGATATGCTTTTCATTATCAATTCATTTCACACAGCAGTACACAACGGCAATGTCAGAAAAAACAAGACATCCATGTTGCAGGATGTTGGCCTATTGTTGGCTGTGTACCATCTGACCTGAACAGTCAGTCAGAGACAGAAATGTGTCAGTGCTTCATCAAGCCAGGACGTGGTGGGGTCTGACTTTAAAAACAATGCATAATCAGTTTGACCAGATTTCAGCAGTTTTCTCTTAAAACAAAAATGTTCCTTTTGTCATCAGTGTGATGGGTGAGGTGGAAAGGCTCATCTCTGTAGGAGAATGTGTCAAAATTAGATAATAAAGGGTGAAGTAAAAGTTTGAACAGGAAAGAGATTTGACATCCAGGATAGGGTCAAAGCGGTAGACTAATGATTCCTGTCATCATTCTGAAGAGGATGATATTTAAATGGGGCTACATTCACATAAGTTAGACTTCTGCTGAGAAATATGACATATCAAAGCAAAACAGCTACATTTTATATTGGTGGTGTTCTGAGATAAATCTGAAAAATGATTCATTTGTTCAGATGCTCTAAAGAACCAAATGTGTGTTCATCTCCACACTGGGAGGTGTCCGCTCTACTCTGACCCACACAATCTGAGAAGTCCATTTCTAACATTTGTTTGTGCAATTTTATTCTTTCAGTCTAGTCTTTGGACAAGTTCCAATTTGGTTCCAATAATGCTTCGCTGACATGGAAACCTTTCTACTCCTGTCCTTGCATGGTTAGTATGGAGTTTAAACAACTCTGAAAAACAGCTGTGGTGTAACTTCTCCTGAAACCACAAACTACTGTGTTCCTGTTTTGCTCTGTGTAAAACATTTAAACAATAAAAAGAAGGGTTGTGTTAGTTTGTGAACTTTGAGATGAGTGAGTCGACAGATATTTAAACACTGAGAGGAGCTACGTTAACTATTTCTCCCTTCTTCAAAACTTTAAGCTCAAGTTTGTACTGGGGAAAAAAAAATGTGCCTAAAATTAACAATAGCTTAGTAGTGGCATTTAGAACAAATTTGGAAGGCCGCACATTCCTGTGGGATACTTTGCAATAATGTTTATTTGGCCAAGTCACTGTAATGAACGACAGTTTCTCTGTCACGTGATAACATCTCTCATTAGGGAAAACGTCCCCGCTCTCCAAGCTGGACACTCACGCTCATTTTAAAACCACTTTCAGCATTTTCATTCCCTTCCCTGTGCACCCTCAACACATTTTTAATTTTTAAAGGAACTAATCTAATCAGACAGAGAGAGCCCTTTAATTAGACTGAAGGGCGGGCCATAATACATCTGCTCCAGCAGAGGAAGTTTAATTGGAAATATCAATTCCGTTAGACGGAAGAAGAGCTTGGCATGCTCGAAACGTGGCACCAAACTCAAACCACTTACAGCATGCTGATGTCTTCAGTTAGCTGGTTATGTTGCATGAGAATGACTGAAGAGTATGTTGCTTATATTTCAACATATATGAAGTATATGTTGAAATATCCCCAGCAGTCAGAGAGGGAGAGAGAGAGATTTGTTCAGAGCAGGAAGAATGAGTGTGACAGGTTTTAGAAAACGCAAAAGGATCTCCTTCCTAGATAGCTCCAGTCTTCATACTGTAGTACTGTATAGGTGCATATTAATTAGAGGTTATACATGTAGCCAATTAACTAGCAAACTTCTAAAAAGAATGTAACTACATATTATTGCTAAAGAGATATCATAAAGATGCTGGAAGAACTGGGATTGGCACCTCCAATGTTTGAGATGCTGATGGAGGTAATTCCACTACCGCAGTTTGGTACGTGTTTGGATCAGTGCTGGACCATAAACTGAGGTGCAGCAGCGACTGTGGGGAGCATGACTGAAGCAGGAAGTACCCGGATCACTGATATTTGTTTAAGCTAAGTGTATCAGTGTTACCGTGTTGGGACTCCACTTGTGTTAACTATAATCTGGCTTCAACCTAACACACTGCTACAGCTTCCAAAATGTCAGCCAGTTGAATAATTGAACTGCTTTCATAAGAGTAGCTCTTTCTATTTCACTTATCCTGTTAGCAGTGGAACATTTCAGCCTTACATCTGAACACCCCGCTCATATTTCAGTGATTGACAGCCATCTTGTTACTACATTAGACCGAGTAACATTTCTGAATGAGTTTCAGTGCAGAACAAACACGAATGCAGTTGACAACTGACAAACGCCTAACAGCCACGTGACATAATCCTAGAGCCTAATC